TTTTTTTTTTTTTTTTTTGGTGAAGAGTAGATTTGATATTTTAATAACTCATGATAAGAAAGTCTTATTTGACCAGAACCAGTACATGGTCTATTTTCATCCAATCTCTTCAAATTTGGGCCGTACCAAAAATTTCGCCAATTCAAACTCAAAGTCACCCCCAAAAGCTCCCTTTTAAAACCCGCCCGATCACTTTCTCTCTGGTCTACGCCTCTTCCATCGATACATACACCGACCTGTATGTTTCTGTAAATTCCTCTCTCTAACACCCATGGATCAAGTTATCGCACAGCAGCAGCTTCCCGTCGATGCAGACGGCATTTGCATGGTGTGCAAAGAGAAGCCGCTGGAGGAGGCGACTCTCACTTGTGTCACGTGCGCCACCCCCTGGCACGTGACCTGTCTCTTGGTGGTGCCGGATAACATGGCATCGGCGGCGAACTTTGAATGTCCGGACTGTTCCGGTGCCGGATTTATATCTGGAGCTCCGGCGGTGGCGGCGGCGGGGGGGAAGGGGGAACTGGTGGCGAGGATTCGGGAGATAGAGGCGGATGATTCACTTTCGGAAAAGGATAAGGCGAGGAAAAGGCAGGAGCTGTTGAGTGGAAAGGTGGACGAGAGTGGAAGTAAAGGAAAAGAAAAAGTGAGTGAGGATTCAATGAGTGATGTGTTGGCGGTGCTTGGTGAGAGCTGCAAGTGTTCCTTTTGCATGCAGCTTCCAGAAAGGCCTGTTACGGTATAAATTAACAAACCCAATCTCTGTATTTTGTGTTTTTCTTTTTGTAATTTATATTTGTTTTTGTGAATGTGAATTTGAAATGCGGTTCAAATATATCATGTGCATTCAATTCCATCTCATGAATTGATTCACTTGTTCTATTTTATACATGCACGAAGTTGATTTGTGCATATTTAATTCTTTTATTTTTAAAATTTTTTTTGGTGTTTTGCAGAAAAAAAGTTTCAGGTTTTGATTTTTATTTTTGTTGTTGTTTAGAGGTCGAGGATTAATCGATATTTTTTTCTCCATTCTCGTTTAATTAGTAATTCTTTAACCCTTGTTTGAGGAAACAACTGTCTGATTAATATTTATTCGTTATTACATATAAATACAAACATGTGTGTTTAATGTAACGGTGTTTTTTTTTTTTCGAAAAAAATAATAATGAAGTTTGGGTTTTGATTTTGACTTTTTGTAGTTGTTTTTGTTCGCACTTTAGGCAATGAATGCCGTAATTAGTTTTCCACAAGTGGAGCTTTTTTTTTTTTTGCTTTACAGATTCGTTCACCTATTTCCATTTTCTGAGGGATTGTTTGAAAGGCATCCACATTCTTATTTTTGGTTATAAAAATGTCTTTTCGTTTTTTGGGTTAAGTGGCCTTTAGGTGTAATTTTGATTTATGAAGAGGTCAAGTATTGAACATGACGTGCTATTTTACTTGCTTCTCTTTTAATTTGAAATTCTCCAGCCCATGTTTGAGAAATTAATTGTTGAAGATTTTTGCTCTTGTATGATTATTGTTTTAGTATATACTGATACTTGTATTATGCAAACTGGATTCACTCTACTCCCATTTGGAATAAGTAACAGGGAAAATTTATAAAGAGGTGTTCCTAAGATAAAAATTTGCTCTTACTTTTTGTATTGGGAATATTAGCAAGTTTTTCTTCCATTTAGTATTTCACGTATCATACAGAGTGCGCTTCAATTTTTTAGGTTTTTTTATTTTCACACACAAGCAATATACTTAAGATGTATTGTGTTACTCAGATGTTCACAAGTTTTAAAGCTGTTCATTTTTGTTTATGTATCTTGTAATTGATCTTGCTTTTATAGGCCTTTGATACATCTGATTCATCTGATGGGCAATTCCTTGATTATTTTTCTTCAAATTTATATGTTCTTTCCAATAAAATAAGGATCATTTCTCTCTTCAACCAAACAAGAAGACTTTTTTTTTCCTGCCTCACTGGGTAATGTGATATGGAAAGTAAAGTTTTTGCTCATATTTCTCAATTTAAGAAATTATCTTCTGTTTTTGATAAGTATGAGCTATCAAATTTCTGCAATTCTGACCAATTCAGCTGTACCAAGTTTGTGAGTGATGAATGAGAAAACTGTCTGTAATATGTTACGTAGGTTGTCTTTGCATGGATTGTTAATGAATGTACTTATGTTTTGTCAATTTTGGAACCGAACAAAGTATGTCGTTGTGGAAAGAAGAAACTGCAAGTTCAACGGCTTATCCATGCCCAAAAGAGATAACTGTCTGTAATCTATACGTTGTCTTTGCATGAATAGTTAATAAATGTACTTGTTTATTTTATTTTATTTTTTTCAACTGAATCCCGACAAAGTATGTCTTTATGGAAAAGAGGAAAATACAAGTTGAATGTCTTCTCTGTGATAAATAGATAGAAGTATTTATTTCTAGGCCAAAAATAAGCATTCACCATGTTGTCTATGCCCCTCTATCTTTATCTCTACCAGTGTTTAAGAAAACATGCCTTGTTCATTTGATATAGTAATTTTTCTAAACGAAAAATATATATTGTCTGAGTTAAATTACACTTGTTTACTTTAGCAAATCATGTAGATTAAATCAACTCAAACGAAAATCTTATCCATACTTGTTAGGTAGCTTAAACAACTCATTTCTTGCCATTACATTTTCTTCCTGTTTGAATATTTCAGACACCATGCGGACACAATTTTTGCTTAAAATGCTTTGAAAAGTGGATTAAGCAAGGGAAGAATACTTGTGCCAAGTGTCGTAGTAGTATTCCCCGCAAAATGGCAATTCAACCACGCATCAATTCCATACTCGTCTTTGGCATCCGAATGGCTAAAATGTCTACATCATTATCCTCCAGGGGCCCTCAAAATGTTTATCGTTCTTTGCATATCCAAGACCGGCCTGATAAGGCGTTTACTACAGAAAGAGCACAGAAAGCTGGAATGGCCAATGCTGCAAGTGGAAGGATCTTTGTTACTGTCCCTAAAGACCATTTTGGACCCATTACAGCAGAAAACGATCCGGAAAGGAATCAGGGGGTATTGGTTGGAGAGTGTTGGGCGATGCGCATGGACTGCAGGCAGTGGGGTGTGCACTATCCCCCTGTTGCTGGGATTGGTGGAAAGGCAAGTTATGGTTCTCAATCAGTTGTAATTTCAGGGGGTTACGAGGATGACGAAGACCATGGTGAATGGTTTATCTACACTGGAAGGTCTGTTCATTATAACTTGTACCGTGAGCTTTTGGTGTTTTATTTTCTTTACTGTATATTTTTGAGTTTCATTTGTTAGTTGATCTAAAGTCTCAACATGATAGCTTATTGTTTTGGTTGTTATTTCTGTTTATTTTTCTATGGTTTAATATGAACTATTAGATTGAGTTATCCATCCTACTATCCAAGCAAAGAAGTGATTCAGGTATCCAATTATGTTTACTTAATTATGGTCTCATTTGATTAACTAATAAAAAGCCAATCTACTCATTTCACTTGTAAATGTAGTGCATTTTTGGGATGTACATTTGAGTAAAGAATACTTACAAATTATAATATGTGTTTACATATCTGGTAAAGTAAATACTTACAAGTAGATACACAATTTCGAACAACCTAAGAAGTTAATTAAAAAAAAATGTTATGAATCTAAAAGAATTACAAAATAATAAATTTAGCAGTTAGTAATTAATCAATTTACTAATTTATCATTTAAATATTTGAAATGATTCACTCATATTTCGTAATTTTTAGTTATTATAATAGAAGAAATATTCTCGCTTAATCCCTAAAGCAATAGAGTAAAAGATGCCGAGTTGCAGGGATGAAGAATATTACAGTGTCAATTTATAAGAATGAATGAGATATTAAGATTGTACAAGTTACATAGATTATCAAGCTCACCAGTTGTACATTGAAATTGTGGAAGAGGGAGATTGAAGACAAATTAAAGTGTAATCAAAGATGTGGATATTCCATGACTTTATTAAGGGCAAGCATTCCTTTATGCACGACAGAGCGATCACGGTCAAGGTCAAGAGGATGAGATTTATTGTAGCACTAGAGATTTGTCTATCACTATAGATTTACATCAAGGTTCACATAAAGTCTTTATCTTTCTGCCTTTGTCATGGATACGCTCTTGAGACACATTTAAGATGAAGTTTCAAGGTGTATTTCATTAATTAATCATATATTTTTGTTGATGAGACTTGAATGAGGTTAAATCGTAAGTTAGAATTTCGGAGTACTATGTATTCTAGTCTCCTAATTTCCATTACGTTCATCTTACTAGTATTTTGTCCTCTCACAACCTTAACACTTTATTTTAAAACATGGCTATTTTGGAGAAATTATATATTATCCTTATAGTTATTTCCAAATCAATTTAAACCTTTGTTGTTCATTTCCATTTTTATCAACTTGCTCTATCATATGCATTACATCTTTTCAAATTTAATTATCAAGTCTTTATCTAAAACAATCACTTATTTGGGACAATACAATCCTTTTAATATTTGGACGACCTTTTTGAAATCACGTTTTTAATATTCTAAGATATTATAATATAAGAGTTGCAATATGGATAGTGATTTCTTTCAACAGGGAGGATATTCATTTGGTTAAACTTATTTGAAAAGTTGCTTATTTTGATATTAACTTTCTGTTTAACATCAAGTAAATTTTTTTAATACTTTTAAGCAAAGAAAAAGGTAATGTATAGGCTAAGGGAATAATGCCCAAATTAAGTTGATATGTGCAAGTTTGGTGTATTTATGAGAATCCAAAGCTTGTACTGTATCCTGACCTTTAGGTAAGTCTCAAAATGAAAATTTAAAGCCATAATTACTCCTTATTTTTTAAAAAAATTTATTAACTTCTTCTCTTTTAACGTTTTGTCTAAAGTTGTAAGACGTCTCTTGAGGATTGATCATTGAATTTTTCTTGACCTGTGTTGCTACGCTGCTATCTTTCTTAGACACATCATACTACTCAAAAATTTTCGTAGTTCCACCACAGCTTTTGCCCTGTTCACTTTACTGATTGATCAACATACTTCCATTGTGATTTTTCTCTTGTTTCTCTGTTGTCTTCGATTATCTCCGTACTCTTGAGTGCAGATAAATTTGTTTTTATATTCTTCTGATATTTATAATGTTTTCTTTTGAGTATGATAGTGGTGGAAGAGATCTGAGTGGGAATAGACGAACTAACAAGGCACAATCATTCGATCAGGAATTTAAGGAAGGAAATCAGGCTTTGCGAGTCAGCTGCTATAAAGGCTATCCGGTTCGCGTAGTTAGGTAATAATAAGTTGATGCTTACTTTACTACATGAATAATAGTTGTTCATCATTACCTCATTAGTATGAGTTATGCTATTTAGCACCACTGGTATTAAGTATCTGCCTAGATGGCATGCTCGTGCCATGAACCTTAAAAATAGGGAAATAAGTCGCACTTAAGATGTGTTATCACTTGCAGCCACCTAGATTCAGTGGTGCTAGAAAACATTATTTCATTAACAAACACCAAATAAATAGGTTCCATTAATATCCTTTTCTTGGGCATCCATTATAGTTGATCAATGTCCTCCTTATATGTAAATTTATACATTGCTAAGACTTGACAAAACAAACAATAATTGCAGCCACCTAGATTTAGTGGTGCTAGATAGCATTATTCCATTAGCAAACACCAAATAAATAGCTTCCATTAATATCCTTTTCCTGGGCATCCATTATAGTCAGTCAACCTCCTTCTTAGATGTAAATTTATATGTTGCTAAGACTTGACAAAACAAACAGTAATGGAGCTTGAATTTTTAAGAATTCTTTATATATACCCAAATTCTTTTTCCTATTTTTTTTGGTCATATACATAACCTTTTAATTATCCGCAGAAAAAATGTATATGTTATTCAAGATATGATTTCTGGAGAGAATTTGTATACAATGTCTGTCATTCAACTTCTTGAACTCTATAATTTCCTAAGAAAATAAATTATTATTTCCAAAGTTAATGGACTTGAACCTTTGGAAATTAATGCCCATTTTCAATGGAAGTGAACCATGCTTACAATGCTCTGAGAATGCTACCACATGAAGGCTTGGCCAAGAGTGTCTTGCCTTCACAAAACAAAGCTTTGCCCCTGTAGATCCAACATTTTATGAGACGAATTCTCCTTTCATGCTATCTATATGAAATATGCAATGTGTAGTAATCCAACAAATTTGCAGTATATGGTGCATAAAAATGTATATCCATGATTCTCTTCTTGTAGTGATAGCGAATTTGCTAGATCGAGCATTAACTTTAAGCATTTTTTCCACATACTAAAATGTGCTTCCAAAATAATTCCTTGCCAATAATGGGGAATTGTGTATCCTAGATCTATCAATGACTTTAAGGTTCAGAACATAATCTTCGGATATCGCTCAACTCAACTAAACAAAGCCCTCTCCATCATTTATCTGGGTGGCTGCATGATTTCTTTCCTTTGGTGTTGGAGTGAAGGCTATCTTTGAATTCAAGCTACTAAGCTTAAGGCCTTTTTAATCACTTAGATCTGCATGATTTTAAGTCTTCCTCTTTCTCTAGTATTACTGTTAATACTGACTATCAATTTTGCGTGTCAGTGTGCGCCTATGGGCTTCCAGTAAATATGCCAAAACCATCTCTATTGACACGCACTTGATTAATTTGCAAATATGTTCATTTCACATTCTATCTCATCTTGTTTTACCACAAACCCATCTCGGCATTATCACCATAGTGACACTCATTCAGTCCCATACAGGATCACTGGTATTGTGGTAGTCCTATAGGATTTTTGATGTAGTCATATAGGAATTGGTGATCACACAAAACCCTAGAGGATCTCCTCCACTTCAACTAACCGGCTTTGATGGTTTGATTAGCATCAAGTCTATTACCCCTTTGCCTATAAACAACTGAGCCTAAGTATAGAATACACTTCATTCTGGGTATCTCTAGATTCAAGCTTATAATGTCTCTAGTCTAAATTGATTAAGAGTTATAGTCCATATATTGGTTCTTACTCCAATTTTGAATCCTTCGTTTTTTTTTTTTTTTTTTCCCTCTCTTTTTTTTTTTTTTTTTTTTTTTTTTGTTTTTGCAGTTGAAGACATCTATTATAGAAATTATAGGTACCATACAACATAGCAAACTACAATTTGGACTACAAAAATCTTTCGACTTGTTTATCTAGTAGTCATTTTTTATGACATATGGACACTCCTACTAGAGTTGGTTGTGCATGTCCGAAACGTGTCGTGTCGGATCTTGACTCTCTTAAGACATTTGTCTGACATAACAAGTGGTGTGCTTATATCTTTATATTTTTTAAACTTCTCCAAGGGATACTTTAGGGACACCTCGGGCACATATCTAACATGCCATGTGGTGTGTCCTATATTTTAACATTTGTCTGAAAAAGTCAAAATAATGCGACAAAAGTTCTACAAACTTAATATCGAATTATTTTTACCTACTATATACATTTTTTACTATAGTGATATCTAGTTTAACTCAAAGTTATTTTAAAATAAAAAATAGCGTTCATCTAATTTAAAAGATTTCACTATCAAGTTCAAAACTAAAATAATGTTGATTTAAATATAGATATAAAATATAAAAATAAAGATGTAATATAAGTATAGTATTAAAGAATTTAAATTGACATGTCCTTGACATGTTGATATCCTACTCTTTGGAACAATCACGTGTCAGCGTGTTCATGCTTCTTAGGTCATATTAGTTAATTATAATATCCAGTGCTCATGTTTTGGGTATTAGTGCACCCAAGTCCTGATGTTAAAAGGGACAAGATCGCAACTTCCTATGTAGATTAATTGATATGCGACATATTGTTCTGGCAGACATAATGCAGTTTGCTCAGTCACAAAAACAACTGAAAGGATATTATTATTACAATTACTCCTTTAAATTCTTGTGTTCCTTTTGAGGCTTGTTTTATGTACCATTTCTTATTACTTAGCTTCTCGACCATTCACTTATTATTGTGATAACTGGCAGCATCTTAATCTGGTTTAGTATAGTAAGCAATTCCAGTTAGATGTGCGTATATGTCTTAAGTTTCTGATTTGGAATTACAACTAATAATATATCTTTTGAACTGGAACAAATGTAGATTCAAATCTATCTCTCGAAATATGGATAGGATGATCATCTTGAATCCACCAATATCTTGAGTGCTCTGCCATTGAAGCTTTTGAAGTGTTATTTTGACTCCCGTGTTTATTTGTAGTTCAAGTTTCGTGGTTTAGTTGAGTAGTTTGTTGACGTCCATTATAAGCATTGGAAGTGCTTATATTCCAGGTTTTCTGATTTGGAATTTCACCAAATAATACCTCTTTTGCACCAGAAAATACGTATCTTTATATTTAATTCGAAATTCAGGTAGGAGGATTATCTTGGATCCACAAATATGTTGAGTGGTATGTCAATCTTATTGCATCCGTTGAAGATTTTGAAGGGTGTATTGATTCCCATGATTGTATTTAGTATATGTTTCTGAATTCAATTTAATAGTATTTTAAAGTCTTTTTGTAGTACATGAGGCTCCAGTTTAAAGCCATACAGTAATGGATAGGAGAACAGCCAGTTAATTTGTAGACTACTCTAACCTTAAATTTGGATCCAATGTGGAATGTGAATTCATGCTCCTCTTCACATGGTGTATGCTTTAATAATTGAGTATTCCTTTTATTCAACCTGAAAATCCTCTGGTTGGTAGCTTGTGCATATGATTGATATTGTAATTTTTCTTCTGAGTTCCTCTCCAATAAAAATGGCCTTCATTTCTTATGAATAGATCTGAGAAGGACAAGCGCTCTTCCTATGCCCCAGAGAAAGGCTACCGCTACGACGGTGTCTACAGGGTTGAGAAGTGTTGGAGAAAAGCTGGAAAGCAGGTATATATTTTTGATACTTCAGGTTGGACTTACTTTTTCTTTTGGTGCGTTAGTTGATTTTTCAGCTTTCTTTTTCTGCATTAGGGATTCAAGGTCTGCAGATACTTATTTGTGAGATGTGACAATGAACCTGCGCCCTGGACAAGGTTTGTAATTGGTTGCAATTGTGAGTTTTTATTTAATAGGACTATTCTCTTCGGTAATTTTCATTTGATTTCAGTGATGAGCATGGAGATTCTCCAAGACCCTTGCCAGACATTCCTGAGCTTAACAAGGCATTAGATATCTCTGAAAGGGCTGAAAGTCCCTCATGGGATTATGATGTGAGTACCTAGTCTCTTTCTACCATTAATGCCATTTATGTTCTCTGATGTGTCAACGTGCATATCTCTTATATAAACATGTTGAATATAAGTAAGATATTAAATTGCATCTGTGGCTCACTTCATGATGAGCTGATGATGATGCATATAAAGTGTTAAGAGAACTGTTATGTATGGTGGTTAATCTTTGATGCACGCAAAGCTGTGAAGAGAAGTGATTTATAACATCGTCTGCAGTGACAATTTTCTACACACATTTCATTTTGTGTACTCTTTTTTTTTTTTTTCCTTTTTTCCATTTTGTTTCTTTTCTACAGGAACTCATATTGCTGCCAATTGATTCTAGATCAAGCAATTTAATGTGCCATAACTTTTTATGGGGCCTGATTTTGATCTCAGGAGCAAGAAGCTTGCTGGAAGTGGAAAAAGCCGCCACCCGCTAGTGAAGAAAAAGTAATCAATGTTAATCCCGAGGAGAGAGAGAAGGCAAGGAAAGTGATAAGGAAAGCACACAATGTCTCCCTGAAGGAGAAATTGTTAAAAGGTTTGATCTCTTTCCTGCCTTGCACATTTTGTAGCATCTTTAACCGATTAATATACATTACCATCATTGACTATTAATTTCTTTTAATTGGGCTTGGTTTGAGTAGCAAGCATTCCTTATTGTATATATTCCCTGATTATTCTTATTATGAAAGTCAGGTTTTTATACCACGAGGTATGGTTGTCAATTCATTCATTAAACTTTTAGAGAAAATGGGTAAATGTTTTTTTTTTCCCCCTAATCTTTGAGGGACTCCATGAATTCCAAATTTTCTTGTGCTTATTTGTTGAGTGGTGACGTCATATTGTGTGACAGCTTCAAGTTGAAATAAATAGAGGTCTTACTATGGTAAGTTTGCACATGCAGGATTTTGTTGCCTTATTTGTGAAAAATTGCTGAATCTCCCCCTCACGACACCCTGTGCTCACAATTTCTGTAAGCCATGTCTGGAAGATGCATTTGCTGGAAAAACATTCACAAAAGAGAGGATGTGCCAGAATGGAAGGAAACTTCGTTCACAGAAAAATGTCATGAAATGCCCATCATGCCCAACTGATATATCTGATTATCTACAGAATCCTCAGGTCCGGCAAAACTTCATTCTAACATTGAAATTGATTTCTATTGTTCCTCTTATATTAACCCCACCATTGACCTGAATTAACTTTATGGATCCCTTTTTCCTGTATAGGTTAATAGGGAACTCATGGAGGTGATAGAGAAGCTGCAGTCGGGGCTTAAGGAGGACGAGAATAACAGTGGTGACTCCAGTGATGGGAAAGCCGATGCTAGTGATGAAAATTTTGATGCTCTACCAGGGAGTTCAGGAGTCGACTTGCCCAATGCAGAAAATAACAGTGGCCACTCCACTGATGGGAAAGTGAATGCTAGTAACGAAGAGTGTGATGCTCAACCAAAGGGTTCAGGAGTAGACTTGCCAAATGCAGAAGCCGAAGGCAATGATGAAACAACTCGTAAGAGAAAGAGCAGTTCAGCTGACCTTTCAGCTGAGCACGAGATAAGTGAGACTTCCAAGAAAGTTAAAGTCAATGCTAGGAATGGCACGCCCAATGTTGACAACAATGCTCCAGAGAACAAGAATTCTCTAGAGAAACCTAATGAAGGCAATGTCATGCACCCCAGAATGGAAATTCTTGAGGTTAATGGCAATAAAAGTAATTCACCCTCAAGTCCTCTGAATCTGCCTTCAGACGATGATTTACAGTAATATTTAAAAACTAAAATATAAATAGGGAGCAAAAACTAGAACTTTATTAAAATTTATATTCCTGGACGTGTTTCCCAGGAGTGTTATTTAAGCTCATGTGTATCTGGGATTTGATTTAGATAGATACATTATAGAATTGAAAACCTGTTGGCCAAAAAAGGAAAAAAAAGGTGCAATCAGTTTTCAGATCGTTGATGCATCTAAGCCGGCATCATAAGGCTGATGTATGGTTTGCAATTTGCATAGAAACCTTGATTATGCAATTTTGGTGTTGAGATGTATCTACTAACATGGATAGAAGTCATTCTTGAAATTGGTTTGTCTGGACATAAATATACAAGGCAAGTCTTTCAAAATTGATATTGTTATATTCCACCACTCTTCGAGATTGATATCCATGGTGGCGTGGCCCAACTGGATGTTTGCACGGAACCAGTGTTTTATAGGAAGTAAACTTTTTCAAGTTGTTCCATCAGAGATGGATAGATTTCACCTAGAAAATTGGCTTGTAAGTAGAGAATGTCCAGTGTTTATAAACCTACAAGCGATCTTTTCAATATCAATGGGATACAAGTAGATCCTAACATGAAACAACTTGCTCCACAACTTGTCCATAATCTCAAACAGAAAAATTAGTCTACTATTCTTGGCAAAGTTTGAAATGAATAATTTTGTTGGTTGAACTTAAAAGTAAGTAGCTTACTTTTAGAAAAAGAGATTTGGTTTCCTATTGTTAGGTTTTGGGTTTTATAAAAGCCTCCTAAACACACTTTGAAACCATGTGTGTCTAAATTCTAAAATAATTCAACAGGGTTATTTGAAATTGGATTGCTTATTTAGACTAATCAAACTATCTATTTGTGCCTTTTGGGCTTCAATACCAATTAAGGGTTTGTTTGGGTCGGATTAAAATCTGATTTTAATCTGAGTCAAAGTCAAACAATCAATATGAATCACATCTTTCATGGGTCCCACAACTTTTCAACCACACATTTTAAAAATTTCTATCACAATCCACTAAAAATCTAATTTTAATCTCAACAAACACCCTTTAATCTCGAGATTCTATTTTAGAAGACGTTGATTATTTTTTTTCTCTTGATTGAACTGAGCTTTACACTCTTTATAGAGATATAAACTACATAATAAATCCCTCAATTCCTAAAATATATTTACGTCCATCTTCATGTGGCTAGCGGCACGGACGGATCCACACTTTTTGTATTGTGGAGTCAAAAATTAAAATGCAATTTTTTTAGAAACAACATAATATTAATGAAAATAAATCAATACACTATTACAATTATAGTCTACGCGTCTTGATACTTTGAAAAGTCATATAATTATATCATTATCAATTTTGTCATATTGATTTTGCTACTTGTATAGTTTTGTTTATCACCTTGTTGACAAATGTTAAGCCGGCATTGAGTAAATCAAATTGAATATACGAAGTAAATGAATTGAAATAAAATTCAAATTTAATATAGGAAGTAAATGAAATTCAAATTTAATTCGAAAGTAATTCAAATCACATTTAGTTTATGACGATCCTAAAAAAAATTTAATGTAAAATTTGCTAACAAAATGATGTAAATTATAATGAGAGATTTGTCGTGTAAATTAATAAACGTTAATGAAATAATTAAAATAATTAAAAAAGAAGAAGTTAAAAGCCTCTTTTAGAGACGTCCGTTTGACACACTTTTAACAATTTTCGATATCCATTTGGACAATTTGATATGACTACGATGTAGTTCTCGAAACGAGCTTCTAGATGACTTAGGCAATTTGTGGATTCGACTAGCGACGATCTCCAGCGAATTTTCAGAGTTAGTATATTATTGTAATTCTTGAAATATTAGTTTGGAATGGTCTACTTTGACGTGTTTTAACTTTTGTTACGATTGGCTGTTTCACGTGCTATTAACAAGTGAAATATTAGGTCGTGAGCACTACGAAATGGTATTAAAAATGCAATGTTTTGACTTCATTTGATGTCCTATAATGAACTCGTCGAAGTAAATTGTAAAGAAAGCAACCACATATTTTTTGGAAAAAAAAATCGAAAAATTGTGGGGTCACTTGACCCCCTGTGTGTCTGTCCATGGCTAGTGGGTACCCACATTTCAAACTTTCGTTAAAAATGAAATAATGAAGCAAGTGATCAATGATATAAATTCCCTATGTGAATACTGACAGTATGACGGTTTGTGCAGGGCGGACGCAGACTTTCGAAACTAGGGGGGCACAATCTAACTTTCACAAAGTGACGAACAAATGAAAGTAAGAGATATCTTATTACAATTGTTCTCTACATGTTCTCATAATTTGATAACATTCAATAATTACATCATTTTCAATCTTGTCAAATATATCTTTCTCAATATATGCAATCAAACTATCATTCAAACATTGATCTCCAATTTGATTGCACGGACGATTTTTGACCCAAGTCAAAATGATCTCTTGACTGTAGCAGTAGCCACTAGAAGAACTAAGGTTAATGTCAGAAGCTTGTAAACTAATGGATACAGGTCATGTTTATTCTTCGCAACCAACTTTTGTACAATATCACGAATGCCTTGTAATCCTTTAAAATCTTCAGAGGTGCGCATGTCAAGAATATATGTATCAATTGATTATCAAGTTCTGAGATATCTGCTGCATCAAAATCTAGCGAATAATACTGACATAGTTGAATCACTTTGTTATTGTCAAAAGCATCAAATGAATTATTTGGAGACAAACACGCAACACAAATGAGCAAGTCACTATTTACCTTAGCAAAACGATTATTCAGCTCCTGAATTTTCATATCAATGATAGCATAAAACATTTCCACACGATAATGATGCAAATTTTTTACTGTCTCACGCCATGAACGACCTAAAGTTATGAACATATCATCCATATTGGGAACATTGATCCCGTGAGTTTCACAAAATGAACAAATAATTTTAAAAAAAGAATCTCATTCATCATCCATCATCCTTTGGAATTGTACTTTACATAATTGCACCAATCTCATGGCATTGACAATATTCGTTGTAATGCTTTTGACAATTCATTTGAAATCCCCAAAATCTTTTTCATGTGATGTAGATGAAATGTAAATTCAAATTTTAACATCAACTCAAAATAAAATACAAGCATCACCTCTTGTTCCGATACTTGTAGTGTTCGTAGCAATCATCTCAACAAAGTCGACTATGGTTGAAAACATGACAATCAAGTTAATTAAACAATTGTAGTGAGAGCCCCAACATGTATCACCAGGACGCTGAAGAATAGTTTTTTGATTGAGACCTCGTCCACTTGATAATTCACTGACACTGAGTGATTCAAAAACTTTCAACATTTGGTTCTCTCGAATAAGATCACTCCGTTTAACCGATCCACCAACAAAATTCACCAATTTGTGTACTGTAGTGAAGAAAGTTTCAACTTTCTGATGTTTTTGTGCCACAGCTACAAGAGCTAATTGTAGTTGATGAGAAAAGTGATGAACTTAACGAATGACAACCGACATTTGCTCCTTACCTGAAATGTCTCTACATTCATCAACTAAGATTGAAAAGAAATTGTTACGAACATCTTTCATAATCATATCTAGACATTCAGAAGCAATAACACTCTCAATATCTTTTTGCACCCGTGGTGAAGTTAATTTGAGATTTTCAGGTGCATTCGTCAAAGCACGACCTTAATCTCAGCATTATGATCACACAACCAATACGATAGTTCAAGAAAGTTTCTTTGGTTGTTTGAATGTTCAAATTCATGATGTCCACGAAAAGCCATACCTTGTTGTAAAAGAAATCGAACACAATCAATTGACGCACTCAATCGAATTCTATAATATGTTCGAGTTTGATGCGATTGCTTAATGAGACATGATCGAATACTTTGCTCTTGATTCTTGAATGATTCATATTTGACTCGAGTTTAATTGTGTGCACTACCTAAAGCCCCAACATGTACTCTAAGGTATTCTTTCTTTTTCCAATTTGAGAATATATCGTTAAGAAAGGAACCACCACTGAAACTGAAAAGATAGCAGTAAAAACAAAAAACTACATCTTTCGCTATACTATATTCCAACCATGTAAGATACTCATCATACCATGAAACACAAAATTGTCTCTTTTTGTTACCCATTTTTGTGGATGGAAATGCATGATTGCGAGGCTGATAAGGACCCCTTTACATATAGGCTCTTCGAATCACGTCTCGAACATTAACCTCATAATTTTGAATTGGAACTCTCAATCCAGGATCGGCGATAAGATTTGCAATATCAATATCCCAGACTCCCCCGACATTCCCAACTTCTCCAGCATCAACATTATTTTCATTACTTTTATCTCAAATATTCCTTTCAACATCAACATTCATAGATTTCCGTTTAATGTATTTGTCCATAACTGATACAAATAAAGAAATCAATCACGTTAGATAAGAAATCAATCACAATTGCCTATCAACAGAGAACAACTTCACAGAAATCTCTATCAACAGCTTCACAATCACAATTGTCTACTCAATTTCATCAAAATCCCTAAAAGCCCTAATTAGAAATCACTATCATACTTTCATATTGAGAGGAAAATGAGAACTTACCTCGTCACAGGATGAAAGGATTAGTGCGCAACCAGCGCAGGCGACGTGAGTTGGAGCTTCGAACGAGAGACAATAGACAAGTAAGTATTCTGCACTCTATAAGCCTGCACACAGCCGTGTGAACTCTTTAATTTCTTCTTAAAGATCTTAAATAAAAGGAATGATGAAATGACAACTACCTGTAAGCTGTAACTTGTGTCTACCATGTTGGCAAAGCAAAGATCCTCGTTGTCGTTGGCAAAGTAAAGCAAAAAGGGATTTAATTTCAGATTTTTTGGGGACGGAGAAGAGGAATCGAGACTAGGCTGCTGGAGAGAGGCGATCGAATCGGGGCTCAAGGGCTTGGCTGGTGGAGAGAGAGGAGAGAATGAAAGGGT